GAGTGCATCATCGCCCGCGCTTTGATCACGCGAGCATCCGAGCATCCGCCGGGACATTCTCGTACGAGCAGAGCTCGATCACGTGGCCGATTTCGGCGCTGGAACAAAATGCGCGAGCAATCATGAATCCTATTTCAAGCTTAGTTATTGATCAAGGGATGGCGCAGGGGTTGACAAGTCGATAACTTTGAAATTCGTGATTAGATGAATCCATTTTCAAGTGAATTTGATGCGATTCATCATTCACCATTCAAGATTCTCGCGATCGAGTTCGAGTCACACGAGAAGTTGGAGTGGGTACCGGTGCATACGTACGCTTTGGAGGGAAAGAGGATGTACGACTTGATCGAACATTCACATTCAGATTCAGAATCGCTCGCATTTGTCATTCGTCCGTTTTGCCATTGAGGAATACGCTCAGAGAGAAGTGCAAGCTACACATTGCACACCGTGCCCCTGGTCCACAAGCTGTCAACGCCATTCGACCCAATACGATCATCTTCGCCACGGTGGCTGTGAGCGGCAGGACGTAGGACTCCTTGATGACGGGCGTGCGCACTGTGGCAAATTTGAATGATTGACCTTTCGGCCCAGGTCTCCCGCCTTTTTCCACGCGAATCGATTCCCGAGCGCAGACCCAACGGGACACCTTTGTCATCCCGCAAAGGTCCAAGCATGGGCGCCGACAGACACCATCCACAACATCCGTGGTGCAGGCGTGTGGCTAGATCCGTATACGACGGCAGACTTTGACCATCATGCCCGCGAGGTCTTCGCGTGGCTGAATGACAGGCGTGCGAGAGGATCCGATGGCGCAAGAATGCTTGAGGGCTGATGATTGTTTGTCATGACGCCTCAGCAAGCTGCTCGGCATGCGAACGCAACGACGCTGACGGTGGGCTATGATTCACGATTCTGGAGGTGAATGTGGATCGTCGGCGTGCACTGTTCGCCACTCACATTTCTCGCGACAGCTACTCGATCCCTCCTTCTCGAAGCACAAGTGCCTTCATCGTTAATCAGCCTCGACGTCGGCTACAACGGCGTCCGAACCTCTTTCAAGCGATCCATAGTTCAGTCTCGTTCATGCCATTTGCCCACTCTGAGTTGGTGCCAATGTACATCAGCTTGGTCAAAACACAGCGCTGGGAGTCAAGCCAGGAAGAGGAGCAGGTCATGCTCTCGTTTATGCCCAAGTATAATGATCGCGAATGATCAAGATAACAGCGCCACTCTCTTCGCGTACGTGCTCGAGAGGTAGCACATGGCAGGGTCACACTTTGCGATGACATCAGCTGTGGCCCTTGTTGGGCGTGGTCCAACAGGTACTCGCAGGTAAAGTGTCTCACAGCTAGGCCGCTACAGCACATGACCTTTGCGTACTTTGTCAAGAAGCAGGATGCAATGCGGCATCGCACCTGCTTTGCTTGCTTATCACATTCACGATTTCGGCAACGACGGCCCCTACCTCGTCGGAGGGCTTGTCTAGCGCTGAGAGTGCTGACACGAAGCTTTGCATGTCGCCACTCATAGACCCCCAATGGCCCCGTTCTCGGCCACTCCTATAAAGGTACTCCTACGCGACAAGCATACTTTCGAGCCGCCAAAGGCTTGACTGGCGTCACCTCGCCATCATGACGTGTATGCGAACGCATGACAGGCCCTTTATTCTGATCACCTGACCAGCCAGCAAAGCAAAATGCGCGTCGCTCGAATCATTCTCTTGCTGACCAACTCAAGCGTTGCTCTCGCATTGGTTCGCCAGGTGGCTATCATCGACGCAGCAGTGAGTGGTGCAAGTGCCTCTAGCTCCACACAGACCAGCACTGATGACGAGCTTCATTTGCGCGCCCCCACGGAAACCTGCACATAGCCGTCAACTCCCCTCCTCATTCGGCGTGCCGACGATTCCCAAGGCTCTGCGCACTTTGCGGATGATGAGGGAGCAGGCAACAATTCTCGCTCCTCTTCCACTGGCCATGCGCAGCTTTCCGGCAGCGGTGCTTCGAACTCTGTGCCACCCGACGTCCCTCGGCAGTCTGCTGGTTCGGCGCCGCACGGACTCACGACAGCAGCCGCTCATGAAGCAGCAAAGGCTGCTGCGAAACCCCGTGGGAGACCGCGCACTCGCGAACCGCAATACTACGTAGGGCCCACAGAAGCTTTTGAGATCCATTACGGTACCTCGGCTTTGCGGACTTTAGGGTCCATCGCAAGCCAAGAGCAGCAGTCCTTGGTGCTCGAGACCATCAACGACGCTATGCGCCACTGGCAAAAATCCTTCCGTCACGTCCAATCTTACTTTGTAGATCAGCTCGCTCCTATCAGCAACACACCCGACGTATGGGAAGTCGGAGGCGAGGCCAAAAGTTTTCGAGGATATTGTCTCAAGAGTCTGAAAAAAATCTTCATCGAACCCAAATTCGCTGAACACGGTCTTGCACACCTCCTCTTCCCGCCCCCGCGTCGAATCAGTCAAGATCGAGCGATTCGAGTCGGTCCGTCTCGAGGATCCGCAGCAGAAGAAGAGCCGAAAAAGGTCATGGGCATAGGTTATGGCAAGCGTGTGACAGCGATCATCAACAGCCTGCCTCCATCCTTGACGATCTATCCGATCGAGGACATGAACAGCGCTTTGCGCGAGTGGGGCAAGCAACACCCACAGGTGCATCATTTCCAGATCGAGAGCATGGAGAAGATGGAGGATGACGGGGGCGCGTGGCTCATCAAAGGTCGTGCCTTCAACGACAAGATGAAGAGCTTACC